AACCCTAAACCCTAAAAACCCTAAACCCTAAAAACCCTAAACCCTAAAAACCCTAAACCCTAAAAACCCTAAACCCTAAAAACCCTAAACCCTAAAAACCCTAAACCCTAAAAACCCTAAACCCTAAAAACCCTAAACCCTAAAAACCCTAAACTTTAAACCCTAAACCCTAAACTCTAAACCCTAAGAACCCTAAACCCTAAACCCTATAACTGGGTCGGGGTACCACAGACCCATCATCCACAGATATTAGGACTCTAAGTCTACCTGGTCATGAAATTATCTTCGTATTCTTCATATAGAGGTTACATGGTTTGTCGCATCAATGTGCTATGCATGTAAATATGAAAGTTTAGTTGGAAATATGTAAATACATAAGAATTATGTGCTATGTATGTAAATTTTCTTTACTATAACTACTGCATATAGATAAAGTGAAAGCAAATTTAGTTTAAGTCAAAGTAAAAAAAAAATTATTCTTGTTCAACTCACACTAAGCTAGAAATTAAAATCATTATAAGTCGAGCTGACGTGACTCGTAATCATTTTGATTATTAAATAGGGATCGAATCAATCCATTTTTTATAGGGTGGGCAAAACTTTAATTAATTAAATAATACTAATAATAATTACTATTATTATGATTAAATGAAAAAAAAACACATATAATTAGTTTTGTAGAGAGAAATACGAAGAACTAGTAAAATAATCTTATTAAATTTATAAGAGAAAAATATAAAAATAAATTTTTTCCATTTAATGTAATAGAATTAATGATACATCTCACATTGGTAAAATATATTTTAATAAATTGGATAAGTTATATGGTTTGTCGGTAATAAATATATTTGATTTAATTTAGAAACCAATTAATCATATTTTGGCATTATGATGTTTCTAGTATTTACTCAAATTTCACTAAGTGGAAACAATGATATTAAAAACAAGTTATAAAGACTTATCCTTCTCATTATTCTTTGTGGCTAATAAAGTAATTGGGAAGGAAAGAAATTTAAAAAAATTAAAAAAAATTCAATGCTGAAATCATCTTCGTATTCTTCATATAGAGGTTGAGATTAAAAAGTTCTACATCAATAGATTTACTAATGTTTGATCGTATGTTTCATCATTTGAGTATTTTACTATGATATCTGGTTTCCAAAGTTACTTCTCGTAAAACGTGGATAATAAAAAGATAATTGCAAACCTTACGATGTGGAATGTAGTGATGCCAAGAATATCATCCTTCCCCTGACAACAAAAGCATTGACCGAGGAGGAAGGAAAATAGCTTTCCTTAAAAGACAAGATCCCAGGAGGTACTTCCTGAACTCCATAATACATGGCTCAGCTAATGAAAGGCTGCATATCATATCATTAAATGTTGAATGCGTGTGCGTGTCTATATGAGGTGATAGGCCTATCCCTGGTGGATAATCATTAACCTGCAAAATTTTATCAGAGGGTGAAGAGTAGCTATACGGAACCCAAAGTATGTAACTATGTTGTCAATAATTATTATGCCAAGAAAAAAAAACCACCGCATGTAGCATATTTCGAGTCATCTTATGTACAAATTCTCATCACATCCCAATAACATTTTAACCTAAATGGGGAGGGACAGTCCACATAGAACTTTGAGTTTATATCAAAATAAGTGCCTTCAGCTTCAAGCTGATGCAGGACACTATCAAAGTCTAATTTTCATGGCAGAAATTCGGTGAGAAAAAGTCAACAGGAAATGCATTTTTTAAAATTTTGACAGATGCAACACTTAACTGTAAACAGATGAAAAAAGAAAACACATACAAAAGTGCAATTAAGTTCACACAAATCTTTTCCACTAATGAAAATAAAAGTGGAAGAAATTCAAAGCGTTATAAAAACAATGATAAAGTAAAAAAATTAAGCCACAAAAAATGTGATCATAAAGGAACAAACACCCTCAAATAGGAAGAAAAGAAGAATAAAATAAATAACGCAACGCAACTAAGAACTATTAACATAGAATAAATTACCTTCCATGTTCATCCATAACGGAAAAACAAATGTACTCCTAGGAGGTAGGTTAAATAGCAGAAAAATTCTATCTAGAATTATGCCCTTAGTGAGGACTTCATATTTCACTACGTCGGCCAACTTAGTACCACAAATCCCGTTTTTCAGTCTTGTCCCAAGTCAAGAGTCTGCCTCTTACGCATGACTTCTCTCCAAACCACACAACACCCCTAGGCCTCTTCTACGGTCTATACTCACCCATCCTCTCTAAAATATGCTCTCTCGACTGAAAAATGTTATTTTATACCTCCTAAAGGAAGCATAATGAAAAAGATTTTGAATTAGTGTCATGCATTTTATTTAAAAAAAATATAGTTTACTAGAATGCTTTTAAAATGAATTATAAATTTACTATGGTTGACAAAAATTATTTTTTCCTAACAACCTATAGTAATGTATAATTTACAAACAAACCACACACGATGGTAAAATGGACAAAAGTAGGTAACCTATAGATTGAATATAAATAGTAAAATACGGAATGTTTACTGAGTGGAAAGAATAAAATGAAGGTTGGGCTTTACAAGGTTTGCAGATAAACTCTCAAAAAAAAAAAAACTGTTGACTTCTGAATTATATTACCCAATCATAATATATGCACCAATCAAATAGAATAGGAGCCGTAGGAGTACATTTGTTCCTGTGCATTCTGAAATGGTTCATCTTATATGCACCCAGTCCATTCGATGCTAAAAATACTCCTAGATCTGGAATATTGGAATGTATTGGGTCGAGAATATTTTCACATACATTATTGTACTAAAAAAAAAATTCCCAACTCAAATGTACATCTTAGAAAAATACAACAACAACAAGTCTTTAGCCCACTAAGTGGGGTTCGCTAAATGAATGTTTTTTTTGTCTCCATTGTGTATTATTCCACCGTTTAAATCATCACTTTTATGTTTCTAGGATTTTTGTGTATCTCGGAGTGGCTAAAACAAAGAAAAAAAGATTGTCTCTATTCAAAATGCCCATCGACCCTAAACCCTAAACACGTCATACCGACGGTGATGTAAAACCCTTTGTTTCGGTTTAAAAAATAAGATTGCACATAAAAAATGAATATTGTTGTCCTGTCAAGTCATTTTTCGATTGTGACAAGATGGGCTTATTGAATATATTTTATGCATCTTAAGGAAAATGCTGAAATTTGTATCTAATTTTGGATGGAATTTGTAAATAGAACAAGTCTGGGAATTTATTTATAAAAAGATTGTACGACTCTATATAAATTCAAGTCTTTTATTCCTTGAGATATCATAAATAACATTTAATAAATTTATTATTAAGCATGAAAAATAAAACAAGATGGGAAAATCATCGAATAGCTGTGAAACTCAAGTGGAGGAACCAAGGATCTAGATTTGAGAACTTTGAACCATGAACTAATTTACGCATATCATATCAGGACCTTACACACAATAATATACAACTTGTAACAAAAAATTCAATGAAAATTGAAACTAGTTTTACTATTTTCTTATGAAAATTTTGGTTGTTCTCCTTGACAATTAAAAAGAGAGAGAGAGAGAGAAAGAGAGAGAGGTGACAAACCTTCCCTAATATATATATAGCTGTAAGTTGGTTTCTAAGTATCAAGTTTTATACTCAATATAATTATAAATAAACTTCTCTCAGATATAAGGTTTGAGAGCCAACCCCACCAGCTATCTAATTCTACCACTGCAAACAAAGATGTTGACCGCAGTTGTAGAATTAGATCTAGTATTGATGTGGGCGATTCCTGGGTAGCCATAATGTGTTGAATTATCTGAACTGATGTCCACCAACTTTGAGATGAACATTAACAAATAGCTTCGATATCCCTCCAATATTGATGAAATTATCCTCGAAAAACTTGAATAAAACTTAGATATCCTTCTGAGAATCACAGTATTGCGAGAATTTGCACTTGCATGGTCCACTCCTAACCTGTCATGACAAAAATCATTAAAAATAGACAGAAAGGGAAGAGAGAAAACCTTGGGTCCTTATCAAAATTTTGATTAAAATATCCACGTCTAATGTTTTACGGGGAACTGCGGAAACAAGGCAGAGATAAATATCCCGTATAACAGAAGTTTGCACAACCCAAAGCATTTGTTAAGACATTCCTCTTTTTTCCTACGTAACCATAAATTTTTTTATGGCTATATTATAAAGCTGGTGAATGATACACAAGGTTTGTTTACCTTCCGAAAAGTGAAAGAAACCCTCTTTGAACATCTTCTAATCATCTTTCCCTGTACGATATCAACCTACAACATCATGCATATTCACACGAACATTAGTGGCATAATTCCATATAGCTGCAAGAGCACAGCTCTACCAAGTACCCTAAACATATATAATCATTAACCAATACGAAAAATACAAGATCTCAATTATTGCCCATGAGAGCTAAGATGGAGCAACCCTGTTCTTTCACTTACATAAAGCTCTAGGCTGAAAATCAAGTCTGAATGAGAATGGCTAGGTTGATATTAGTTTGTAGACACATAATAAAAATATATGTCAATAATAATTGAAATAAAGCTAATCATGATGATGACAAACCAAAAGGGTGCGTCAAGAAGGTATGTTTAATTACTTAGGGGAAGTCATTAACAATTACTTCCATCTTGTGATGGGAGTTTATATATATATATATATATATATATATATATACAAGATAAATTTTTGGTTTAAGCAATATCAGTTGAAACTGGCTAGAGACTGGAGACATCACACTTATTTATGGTAAAAATTAAACATACAATATCATTAAGTTGTTATTTATATATAGGTGAAAATTAAACATACATTTTTCTCCTTTGTTTTTTACTCGAGAATTTTTCCACAAAATAATTTATAATTTATAATCCTTCCTTGGCAGGTTGAATGGAAGGCTTCTATTTTAAAGAAAATAAGAAATTTTCTCAAGTATATAATTTGTTAAAAGAAACATCGATTTTTTTTACAGTTGACTGGAAACAAATAGCTTGGCTTCAAATTGTTCTCTTTAGGTTTGAAATTCCTTTTCTATGATTTATCTTGGGCTTCGGGAAAAAAGGGGATGCTCTTGAACAAAAAAAGAATTATTCACATAAAAATTCCCAATCAAGTATCTTGATACACTTTTAAATCTCATCAAAGAAATGAATTACCTTATGCGAGAGATTGTTGGGCCGAACCAACCCACTTGGCTGAACCAGCCAAGGGTTGAGGCCTAGCAAGAAACTGAACCGGCCTCCTCTTCCTTTGGGCGGGACTTACCACCCAAGTCCCCCTTCCCATCCCTTTAATCCCCCTTTTATTTCTATTCCCCTTCATGTTCAACTTCCTTCCTATTATATTCCTTCTTATTCTATCTCCTTCATGTTCTAACTATTATTATTTATTATAAATATGTTGTTTGTTTGATGAAGATGGAGTTTTGATTGTTGTTGATTTCAGATCCCTGCCTCTAGGCTTTTCTCCTTCAGAGGGCTGTATCCAACGAGAAGGCATTCCGGCTGTAACTAATATGAGGTGGTGATTATCTCTGTTTGTACCATCTCTTCCCGCTGCCATCCAGTCGCCGCAGTCCAGTCCTCCTACAAGCTATCGCCTTCCTCCAGCATCTTCGAGCAAGCCGCCCTTCCTCCAGTCCTCTTTGAGCAGGCTGCCCTTCCTCCAGCTCCCTTCCTACAGGCCGCACAGCCTCCTGCACCTGCCAGACAGACTGTCGACACCTCCATCTCCATCCAGCGCCACAACCACCTGCTTCCAGCCCTTTTAGCAAGTCGTTACCACTTCCCTATTCCCTCCAGCATTATCGCATCAGCTTCCAGCACCCTTCCAGCAGGTCGCACGTGCTTCTTATTCCCTCCAGCATTGTCACACCTACTTCCAACTCCCTCCAACAAGGCACCACCACTTCCTGCTTCCTCCAGTCCTGTGGCACCTGCTCCCAACCCCTTCTATCAAGTTGTTGTTACCTTTTGTTCGGTAAAGCACTGTCGCACCTCTCACCATTTTGTGTTGTTTTTATTCAATTTCAGAATTGTTGTTTTGACTTTTGAATTTAGTAATATTATTTTTTTTCGATTATAGTTTGGATTAACTCTGTTATCAATATGTATTAGAGCTAACCTAACTCAAGTTTAATCTTAGGATTCCCAGGGATCCACCTTAAACGCACACCCCCCCCCCCCCCCCCCCCCCCCCCCCCCCCCCCCCCCCCCCCCCCCTCCTTCCCTCCTCACCTCCCCCCCCCCCCCCTCCCTCGCAACCAAAAACCATTTTTTTTTCTTCTCTATCCTCAACCATCGCTTCCAAACCCAATCCGTAATCATGTCACCCCGAAGATACTTACAGGAAACTACCCGGGACAAGATAGAAAGAAAAATCTGTTAACTTCAAAAAAAGCTCGCGGAACTCAATGATGGAACCCAGGCAGAGGTTACCCTTGATCATGATCAGGAGAGTCGAAGGGGAGATAGGAACGAAGATCTGAATCCATTCCACAGTAAAGACATCAGCAACAAGGAATATCGGCCACGCTGCTTCAGAATTCAATATCAGAGGAGGCCAAGAGAAGAGCCTCATATGGGAAAAGATGAACAAAGCAATGCAGATGAAATACATTCCACCTCATTACCGCCATGACATATTTCTGACACTCCATCACTTGCAACAATCAGACCATTCAGTGGATTAATTCACAGCTCATTTTGACCAACTACAGACGAAATACGAATTGATCGAGCCAGAAGAACACACAATAACCTAATACCTGAGGGGGGCCTCAAACACGCTATTAGCAATGTGGTGCAGTTATAGTCATACTAGACGTTGGGGGATGTTCAAACTCTAGCCTTAAAGGTGGAAAGACAATACAAACATAGCAGAAAGTAGTTCATACAGGCAGTCACCTACAGCTACCGCAACTTGCAAAGGTATCTTGGGAGGAGCTAGCAAGACTGGTCAGGGAAATGACAAGAAAGATCAGGGTGAAAAGAAACCGAAGAAAGGTAGTTCTTACAGTACAATACCCGTCAGGTGCCTCGGCTATAGACACAGCCTCCAACGGTCCCACGAACTGAGTTGTCACATTCACAGATCAAAGCATCGTTAAGGAGGTGGAGGACGAGGAGTCAGAGAATAGTCCAGAAGAATTTCAGCACCAAAGGACGAGGGAGAATTGCTATTCATATGAGAGTTTTGCAGTCAGAGTCAGAGTAAGATCAATCCCAGTTGAGATTGTATCTTTTGCACCAAGAACACGATAAAGGGGAAGGGTTGCAGCTTAATCATCGACAATGGGAGTTGTGAAAATGTGGTGTCCATGCTGATGGTAAAATTATTCCCTTGCCTAGTTGAAGGAGGGAAATGAGATACGCGTGATCAGCGGTACTTGGTCAAATTTTTTATTGAGGATCAGTTATAGTAAGGTGCAAAGTGATTTCGATGGACACTTGCCACATTCTGTTAGGTAGGCCTTGACAACTCGACCGCTACACTCAGCACGACGGCTTCAAGAATACTTACTCCTTTAGAAGGATGGAAAACATATCATGTTGTTACCTGTTAAGGAAGCAAGAGGCGGACGCGATATAGAGGAATCATTAGTCTCACGGGCCACCTTCATGCAACCAGTTCGGAATGCTCCAGTGGCACTAACATTAGTCCTCCTGGAGAAACTGAGGAGAACAGTAAGATACCAGCAATACTACAACTACTACTACAGGATTTTCAGGATGTGATGACCAAAAGTCTTTCGGGGGATTACTGCCAGTGAGAGACAATAAGCACGTCATAGATCTTATACTACGATCAGTGCTGTCGAATCGGACTCACTAAAGATTTTGACCTGCAAAGTACGAGTTACAATGACAGATACAGGATCTCGTAGCGAGCGGGCTAGTTAGACAGTAGCAATCCATGTGTTGTTCCCGCCCTGATGGTGCCCCAGAAGGATGGGTCGTGACGGATGTGCATTGACAACAAGGTCATTAACAAGAATATCATCAAGTACCAGTTTCTCATACCTCGCCTAAATGATCTCTTGGACCAGTTACACAGAGCCACCAACTTTTCCAAGATCAACTTATGCAGTGGGTACCATCATATACGCATGAGGCCAGAAGGAGTGAAAAACTGCTTTCAAGATACGAGATGGTCTATACGGTGGACAATTATGCCCTTCAACTCATCTAACACACCCAACATTTTATGAGGTTGATGAATTAGGTATTATGGGCTCACATTGGGAAATTTGTGGTGGTCTACTTTGATAACACTCAGGTATGCAGCCAATCTGAGGAGCACTTACAACACCTGAGGGAGGTGGTTGAGATACTGCAAACAGAGAAACTATATACCCATCCAAAGAAGTGTCACTTCATGATGGACCAAGTATATTTTTTAGGTTATATCGTGTCAAGTGCAGGCATTCAGATGAACCTTACAAAGATCAAGGTCATTGTGAGTTGGACTGCACTGCAGTCATTCACCACACTGAGGAAGTTTATGGGACTAGCATCGTTTCACAAACGATTCATCAAGAGTTCAGCACCATCACTATCACGCTGGCAGATCTTTTGAAAGGAGAAATTTCAATGGACAGAGACATCTCAGAATAGTTTCAATACAATAGAAGGTGACCCAAGCGTCAATCTTAGCATTATAGTTGTTCAAGATAAAGTGTGATGCATCCGGTGTGGAGATAAGAGCAGTGTTGACCTAGGAAGGTCACACTATTGCCTTTTTCAATAAAAAACTGAATGATTCCAGGAGGAAGTACTCGACATATGACAAGGAATTTTATATCATTGTAAGAGCTCTAAAGCACAGGAGCCATTACCAACTGAAAAGTGAGTTCATATTGTTCACAGACCACAAAGTCTTGAAATTCTTGAAAAACCAGAGAAAGTTGAAGGGCCAACATGCCACTTGGGTAGAGTTTTTAGCATCATTCAAGTTCGTGCTTAAGCATAAGGCGGGAAGCAGGAATTGCATAGCAGACTCAAGTTGTGGGTTTTGAGATAGTAAAGGACTAGTACGAGGTAGACGAAGACTTCAAAGAGATCTAGCAGCAATTTCAGGAGAAGCCTGCTGAACAGTATTACAAAGGTACCTATTCTACCATAGTAAGTTATACATTCCTAGGTGCTCGTTGAGGGAGGTCATTGTTCAGGAGAGCCATAGTAGAGGACTGACAGGGCATTTTGGTAAAAACAAGACTTTAGCACTCGTGATAGAGCACTTATTTTGGCCCCGTCTAACAAGAGATGTGAAGCGACACGTCAGACAGTGCATAATTTGTCATATGGCAAAGACAAGAGGCAGAATGCTGGGTTTTACACTCCATTACCAGTACCAAAGGGACCGTGGGGAAATTTGAGAGCATGGGGAAAATTTGAGATATGTTAAAGAGGTTCATTGAGATGCAATCCAAGAACCCGCCAACATTGAAATTTGTTAACCCTAACCAAAGGTAAACTGGAGAACCGTGGCAAGGTCGAAAGAAAAAGGGATTGAATGTGAATAAAATGAGGAGGAAAATATCCACCATCATGAACCTCCTCTCAAGGCACTGATTAGGGGTAGATGAGAGATTTCTGATGAAGGCGGTTGGGCAGAAACATAGAGAATGGATTGTGCCAGAGGTTTGGAGAAGCATGAAGAAGAAGGGAGAGAAGAGGAGAGGGGATATGGCTACGGTCGAAGAAAGATGTTTTACCCTCGATACATGCGAGGAAACAACAAAGAAAGAGAAAGTTAGGGTGGAGATGTTAGAGTTAGGAAGTTGAAGATTTCGATCTTCAAGGGGGAATACACACATGGGTGGGTGTATCGGGCGGAGCAATGCTTCGCAGTGATGAGTTAGATGGAGAGGAGAAACTCATGGCGGCAGGATTGTGTTTGGAGGAGAAAGTCTTAGCTTGGTTTCACTGAAGGAGGCTAAATACTCGATTCGTTCATGGGATGAATTTAAGATTGTTTGTTGAAACGTTTCCGAGTCATTCGGGAAGAAGACCTACACGAGCAATTCTATGACTTGACTCAAGAGGGAACGGTCATAGAATATAGAAAGAGATTTGAACTATTGTCGGGATGATTGTGGGAGGATTTCTGAAGCAGTAGTGGAGGGAAATTTCATGAAGGGCTTAAAGCCCGACATAGGGGTAGCACTCCGACTACTAAGACTGGGGATTGAAGAGATGATGTAGCTAGCCCAGATGGTGAAAGACAATAACCAGATGAAGAAAACAAACAGGAGCAACACAGATAGAGTGTCGTACGGAATTGTTGTATCCACAACGATGCCAAAAGTTCAGACAGTGGAAGTTCAAAGGAAGGTTGCACAGGACACGAATAATAGACCACAATCGGGAGCAACACTCAAGCGCCTTCATAGAGACAGAAATTCGGGAGAAGCGAGCCATGTGGTTATGTTTTCAATATGATGGGAAGTTTACCCTAAGACACCGTTGAAAGAAACGAAGATTACAAGTTCTCATAGTGCAAGACAAGGAAGCAGAGAATGAAAAAATAGAGACAATTGTGCAGGAGGAGGAGCACTTATTTTTTCCCACCTTAAGGACAAGGTGACTTTTGGGGGAGGGGAGTATTGTTACGAGGGCTCCTAGCCTAAGGGCGAATTTGGCTTTTGTACGTCTAAGGGAAATTTAGTCTTTTATTATTATTATTGTTGGGTATAAATAGGTTTGTTATGTCTAGAGTTAAGTTTATGAATATGATTGAGTTGTGAGTCTTAGATTTAAGTTTTAGGAGAAATTTTCTACCTCTCGAATTGTAAGAATTGTGAGAGATCACCTAACTCTTAAATCGTAGGTGTTTATCTTTGTATTTTCATTGAATTATTTGAATTATTTGAATTATTAAAATAAGAAATATGTTTAGCCCTAATTTATGCAGAGATTCATGTCGATTTTTGCTCTGAATCGTATCATTTTCTTATATGAATTGCGACCAAAGCTTCCCTTTTCGGAATGGTTGAACGAAGGACTGAAGCTGAGGATATTTTGCGATCTGAAATGGCTAAGAAATAAAGTTGTGGTTGTCGCAACTGCCGAAGATGGCGTTGCACCAATTAGGATTGACACATTTTATTTATGTTCCCTGCATCAAAAAGGGGCTCCACCGGAATCTCAAACGATGTCTAGGTCATAGAATATTTATATTCTCAAAAGAAGTTTTCACGTAAACATGCTAAATGGGTAGAAGGCCTTTTTCATAACTTGCATGTAAAGATTATCAGGTTCGATCAAGACAAGAAGAATGCTACTTATAAAAATGTAAGAGAATTTTATCAAGGCTTGAATACTGATTCATCGCTCTATAAATATTATATCATAAAAGATGGTTATTTATTTAGGGGTACTACTATTTTTGTATTTCTGATTTATGGTAAAGGGATTTTTTTATTTTAAAAAAGCATGTTGGGAGTGTTACTAGACATATTGATAGAGATAAAGACAATTGCATTGACTCATAAAAGTAATAATGGATGCGTGTAAAAAGAGATGTATGCTTGTAGCATTTGCCATTCTGCTAAAGATAGAAATCAGAACACATGGTTGTATATATTGTTAACAATTTCTATTTAAACCTTAAAGGATGTCAGCATGGGAATTATGTAAAGCTTACCACAATAATTGAGAAAACAAGATTGTAATTTTGTACGATGGGTATAAAAATAAAATGTTTCCATTTAATGTAATAGAATTAATGATACATCTCACATTGGTAAAATATATTTTAATAAATTGGATAAGTTATATGGTTTGTCGGTAATAAATATATTTGATTTAATTTAGAAACCAATTAATCATATTTTGGCATTATGATGTTTCTAGTATTTACTCAAATTTCACTAAGTGGAAACAATGATATTAAAAACAAGTTATAAAGACTTATCCTTCTCATTGTTCTTTGTGGCTAATAAAGTAATTAGGAAGGAAAGAAATTTAAAAAAATTAAAAAAAAATTCAATGTGAAATCATCTTCGTATTCTTCATATAGAGGTTGAGATTAAAAAGTTCTACATCAATAGATTTACTAATGTTTGATCGTATGTTTCATCATTTGAGTATTTTACTATGATATCTGGTTTCCCTTTCGGGGGTATCTCTTACACCTCATTTTTTACTTTATACCCGCCCCTCTT